GATGGCGTTGCTCGGGGTGCAGACCTGGTCTTCCCTGCTTCCTGTCTCCCTCTCGAGCTGCATTTCTCCCATGCTCCGCGCTGCTTACCAAGGATGCGAGTGGCTTTCCCGACCATTTAGATTTCCCACCATAGTCTAGACACTCCCTGGAGACTCTGCCATCCATTATAAAGATAGAGCTTTCAAAGAGGAGAGGAAGTGAAGGCCTCACACAGAGCGTGTTCAGCCTAAAATGTCCGTCTGTCTCCGAGCCTCACCGACTTGAGATCTGTTGTCTTAATATTTTATGATGATCTCACCTCTCCTCTGTTGTGTGCTACTACTTGCAGAGCATCTTCTGTCAAACTACACTCAGATCTCTGTCATTAGAAAGACTCCAGAGGAGACAATGAGCCGCACTTCCCCTGAGTTCTCACTCTCAACCCAACAAAACCCCAGTGGATTTCTGGGCTATAGTTATGGCAAGCTCGACCTAGCGTCCCCATTCATCAAATACTCTGCCTACTCTGTCTGGTCTCAGCTGGTGTGAGACCCGACTGGTTGGTGGAAGACAGGGAGTCTCCGAGGTTACTTCTCTCTATTCACACACTTCACTTTATGGAGTGACCCGTTTTACAACTCGCTGACAAGGATCTTCAGCCATGCTCGTTTTATCTGTCTTCATCAGCTCCACAGGTAAGTATTGACATTTCTATACTAAATACAGCACATCATGGAAGTACGGCTGTGCAGAGTGACACTGCTGTGAAGTACTGCACTGAAACAGGAACCTTTAAGGCTCTTTCAGTTCTTTCTCTCTGTCCCTTGCAGAATATTAAGAATTTATTTGTGGTGATGAAGTAAGAACGTTTTATTGCATTTGTAGTTGTACTAGTTGCTGTGACCAAATACTTATAAGTATAAGATTTTTTACATTAAAAAAATATCGATTGATTTAACTGACATGTACAGTTTAGAATACACTATGTGAAAGTCGGGAACAACAGGGAATCCAGACTGAATTGGAACCTTAGGGATTTTAACTCACTTTGATCAAGTATTTTATCCCAAGTAGATTCCAAAATTGTGCATCAACTTCATCAAAAACTAAAATAAAATCTTTAAAATCTATAAAATATTTGCCATAGCACTTTTATTTTGGAATACTGGTTCCGACTGTAGAGTAACAAAGCGGTCAGAAGACATTTTCATTAACTAGTACCTTCTCCTGCCTACTCAGCTTTCGTACGTTAACAAGCTAACGAGATAAACAACGGTACAAAATCATTGGAGTACTGTAACAGTGTAGCTTACATTACTGACATGTTTTCTCCTTGGGGCTCGCCATAGCTGAATAACCCTTGATTTGCTTGCTGCTCAGATTACTGCGAACCCGTACACTCGTTCCACTCGGCTTCTGGTGATACCACCTCCTGTACACGCTTGCTGCTCTCGACAATTCCTGTAGCCTACATACCAAGCTGCTACATATAAGCTGAAGAATACTAAAGATACCGCAAGGGGACTTTGGGGCCTGCCAGATTCATTCATGTACCAGTGTCAGGTAGTACACTCATGCTCGTGGGTACTATTCCTGTAGAGTTCGGCAAGACTCACAATTGCAGTTTGGTTGATTGTTAGACTTCTTATTTTGTATGTTTGAGAATGTTATCTGTATTGTTTTAAAGGATTAGTGTGTAGGATTT